TGACTACGAACGATTGAAGTATTAAAATTTAAATTCTATTTCCAAGTGGAAAATGGGGAGTCCACTTGACGTGATCTGACTCATGTATAACTTACTTTCTTTCAAAATTCACATAAATAATAACAACGATCCAAAATTCAAAATATTGAAAGGTTTTTAGTTTTTTTAAATATTTTAAAAACTGCTGGTTTTTTTTTACAATTTATAAATTTCATGTTAGTAGGCTTGTAAATACGAAACTTTTCTTTGATTTAACCAAAATGATTTAAACAAAAAAATACCCGTATAAGTATACACATACAGTATACAGGGGGCTCCAGTTTATATCATCAGAAGGTAGTTTGTCCATTATACTATGGTTAATTATAATGTTTTTTTTATAAAAATATAAAGTATTTTAATTTGGTATGCAATAACATATAATATAAAAACATTTATATATTAACAATAAAATATTTTCTCCCATCATGTATTGTAGTCTAACCTAAAACTTTCTTCTTGTACATACAAGTTTTTGGTTTAATTAAGTCTAGTTAAACAAAATTACTTGATTTCATAAAATGAATCTTGTATGAAATTTGACTTTTTTTCTTAAAGAAGATATAAAAATAGTCACGCGGTATAATATTTAAAAAAATGCTTTAAACAAAAATATATTCTTTGTATATAAAATTCGAATATATTTTATTGTACACCCATGTTTATTATCCACCGTTTTAAATCAAAACTAAATTGTAAATTATATCAAAAATAAACCTGTAACAATTTCATTTTTCTCTTAATTTTTTGACAGTTTATTAATTTATTTACCTAAAAACAGGATGACAGATGAGTTGAAATAATAAATTAAAATATTTTTCTTATAATTAAAATAATCATGCTTTAAAACTTGAAAGTATAATTATAGTGTAAATATACTAGCCTTTGATCTTAAAATTAAAATTAATACAGAAAATAAATTTAATAAATACAAAATAACATAATTATTTTTACTTAAACAGCAAAACAAATTTTTGAAAATGTTAACTCAAATTTAATTATTAACTTACTTTTCCAACTTTTCTCCAACTTGGTGAAAAATCAAAAGTTCAAGCACAGCAACCACCGAACAACTCTCTCAATCAAAAACAAATAGCGTAAAGTGTGGTAAAAAACACCGAAATGTCGCGGCAAGCGCAGTCAAATCTCGCTGTAGCACGTGGTTTTCGCTTCCTGTCTCGGCGAGTCACGTTCACTCGTCGACCGACCAACAGACACTGAATGATTCAAGTCAGCAGCATCCATAGAAGATGTTTCTCAAGTCTCTGGACTCCGGAGGGAGTCCTGAAAGTGGAAGCGCAGAAGCATTCTGTGCAAAGTCGCCTACAAATGCCACTAATCTGAATTGCTAAATTGTTTATCAGATTATAAATATATTTGCTAATTGGTCTTGTCAGTTAAGTGCAGATTTTCAGATTTTATAAGATTTACAAGCTATGAACTGCAAATTTAGGGTTTTGGTTGGTAGATAGTTGTCAAGTTGGTCGCATTGATTAAAACAAACTAAGCTAGTTGTAAATCTAATTGTGGTTATGTATAAATTATTGTAGGTTACATTGTGCAGTTGACAAGTTGAGTTGTCGAAATTCGTAGTTAAAAATGCAATTAATTTGGCTTTGGTGGTGCTTGGACGAGTGAAATTATATAAAAAAAGTAGTTAAATATAGGTTGCTTTACGGCCCAGAAGAGAAAGTATTCCTAGCGGATAATAATCTTCACTTCACTAAAAGAAATTGAAATTTTTTGTGAACGTAAATGTTGTCCAATATTGAATAATGTGAAAATAATGTGTGATGTAATATTTATAAAACCAAATTCGTTACTTTTTTACTCCAAAAATGTCCATAAGGCGATGTACTTTTTCTTCCATTGTGGCATTTGGCATAATTTCATCAAAATGAAGTTTTGCCCTGAAAAGGGCTTTTACATTCGAATTCTTTGCTATTATTTTTGGCATAATTATCTTTTTATTTATAACTGACAAGTAAATTATCAATAATAAATATTTTTGTCAATTTGACAGCGTCAAAGTATTTAATTAAATTCTTTAGCAGAAGTACTGTTTTTAAATACTAAAAATACTAAGTCAAACTGGCATAAGCCACCAACCTAACAAAAAAACACGAGTCAAGATAAAAAAAAATGAACTGTATACTTTTTTACGACAAATACTTAAAATTATCTAAAAAATGAATTTAGACTTATTAAAACACATTTTAAAACGGTTATTGTTTACAATAATTTATTTTACATTAAACTTTACAAGTTTTACTTCGCATGTCTTAAAACGAATACACCTTCCAATGAATCCGGCAAACACTTGGGCTTCTTCTTCGTGGCTTTCATTACTTCAAATGTGGTGTAATTTACAAAATCAGTAATCTTTGTAACTGCGTATCTAACTCTTATAACCGTGGAGGGATTTGCTAGAACAAAAATAAGTAAAAGACGCATTCGCCAATTTTGCAAATATTATATTGTATATTTCGTAGAATGTTTAAAGGTTTTAAAAGGTGGGTAGTAGACAATATTCTTACAACAACTCGTGTAACATGATCTTGATTTATATGTTCCATCGTCACTGTAAACTCCAAAGGATCCATCTATAATAAATAAGACATAAAAAGTATAAAAAACTATAAAAATCAGGCTCATATAAATCTTATTTTTTTTTATTTACTAGACACCTATTATCTTGTACTTTTTTATCTATTGGATACTCTGTTAAAATTACTTTTTTAAGAATATACGTTAGACAATCTATTTCTTCAAAATTAGAAATTCTAAAAAGTTTTGTCTATGCCTAAGAGACGATTACTTTACATAAATTTTATAAAAAAAATTCCACTTGTTTATTTTATATAAACTATCAAACTTTTTAGCAGTGCTTTTAAAAAAAATAGTAGGCAGTAATTTTTGTTTGTAAATGAATGATATATTTTTCTACAGTAATTTATTTGTTTTGTTTAAAAACTATTAACTCCTAGGCCTCGATAAATATTTTTATTAGATTGTTTCGAGTATATTTAACATTTGAATTATATACATAATAAAAAATTGGTAGAAGAAAAAATGCAGTAATTTTAGGTTTGATTTTTTTTATTAGCATTTTTTGTACCATTATTTAAATCGGCCATTTCAAGCGGATGGACGGGACAAATCACAAAACTGTTTTTATAAAAAAAATTGTAGCTAATTTATTATATATTATTTTTGCATCAAAATTGTCAAATATATTCTTCTATTATTAGGGTATACATTAAATAAAAAAAATCGCAAGAAATATTTTATTAAAGTAGAGATAATTTCAATAATTGACAGGGATGGACAGGACAAGATAAATCTTTTTTTTGTCCCGTCCACACCGTTCAATTATTAAAATTATATCTACTTTCATAAAATATTTCTTGAGTTTTTTTTATTTAATATATAACCTAATAAAAGAAGAATATTTTTGACAATTTTGATGCCAAAATATTATATAATAAATAATCTACAATTTTTTTTATAAAAACAGTTTTGTAATTCGTGCGTTTCGCGCGCTTGAAATGGCCGAAATGTTATATAAACCAGCACGACTTTGTACTTTTAAAAATAGTTATCAAGGTCTAGAAACGAAAAAATGGTAAAGGAAAATTTGTCTTGGAATTTTAGGAGGAATTGCCTTTACCCTTTTAAATAGTGCATATTTTTTTAAAATACTTGTAAACGATTTTTTTTCTGGTACCAGAACGGTTTGTTTTTCTTAAAATCAGATATTTTGCCGGGCTAAATATATAAATAAATCATTTGTTGTCTTACCCTCCGAATTTGAGTTTGGTCTACATTCTAATGTTTTTAAAATTAATAATATTAAATTGAATTTAATTGTTTATTAATATTACCGCATTGTAACATACTGGTGCTGTATTTTCTACATTTTTCTAAAAAATAAAATAAAATTTAAAAAATAGGTATTTTAGGGTTAAATTTTTTTTGATACTTAGGCCATCATTTTGTATTTTTTGTTCAGAGGCACAATATTCGAAAGTTGCTTGGGGTCTGCAATGGTCTATATTTATATTAAATTTAAACATATTTGTATATAATTACTAATACTTCTGCAACTACATTCTTCCTAAAAAACATTATTAATTTTTTAAGGATGTTAATTATTTTATACTTACTCCTGATTGAGAAGATGCTTTTCTATCCTAAATTGATATACTTTTTATGATTTTATTATTACGCTTATTATTTTATTATTCTTACACACTCTCTGCATACCATCACAGTTTTATTTTTGTTAGACTTTAAATAAAAAATGTTATGGTAACGGTATTTTTTATTTTAATACTCACATATCCTACACACTTTGCCCGGATTGCTGAGCAATTCTAAAATTATTTAAATTTATAATAATTTCGAGTTTTTTTTATAGAAAAATAGAGTCTAAATACTAAAAAGACAGTTTAAAAACAAAAAAAACGTTTTACACTTTGTAACTTACATTTTGCTGAGTCTGACAATAGCTCTAAAATGAGTTTTTTAGTTTTTTAATGTATTACATACTATAAAAACATACTAACGGATTTACCAGACGGTTCAAACCTTGTTTCCTAAAAATTTAAAAAGTAAATACAAACATAAATAATCAAAAAGATGTCTGCAACTGATAAGACAAAAAATATATGAACATAGATGTCTTTAAGATACATGGTTTAAGTTTTGTGAGAAATAAAATTGATTGGATTTATATAGAAGAAACAAAAATAAAGACCTTAAATGTAGAATAAAAAAAATCTTGAAAAAAAATCACCAAACCTAAGAGAAACAGAAAAAATGCCATTTAAAATCTAAGAGGCAACAAAACCATCAAAATATTTCGAGCTGTAATACGAACGTAATTATGGAAGTTACAACATAACAAAAAAATTAAGGAACGAAAATATTGTTTTTAATTTGTAATATAAACTACTTACTTTATCAGAGTAGGCTGGTAAGGTTTTGTTAGGCTACAAAATTAATAATTTGCATGTGTTAATCAATAATAATTATTAATTATGGCTTAACAACCCATGCAATTATTAAAGTAAGTAGAATAAAACATATTTACTTACACAATGCACTCTTGATTTTATTTCTATGGGAGGCTGTGGACAGCAGCAACAAGATGAACAAATTTTCTAAAATATATTGTTATTATATTTAATAATTTTAAAATATTATATATTCCATACTTTTACACTGCGACCATCTACATATTCAATTGATTTTTTTGATGTAAATGACTTGTTATCATCACATGTTATCTAAAGTTTAAAGAATTGTAATTATTTAATGGTGTTCTTATTTTACATAGTACCTTTGAATTTTTACTATTATAGGATTGCACCGATGATTTGGACTAAAAAAAATAAAAAAGTAATTATATCTTGCATAATTTGCATTAATTAAATTAAAACCGATAACGTTATCCATTTTCGGCTAGTAAATAAAGTTTTTTTGATACTTACGGTACTATATTTTCGTGTTGGCTTTTTTCCATCAGGTGAGTTATATTTTGCCTAAAAATTATTTTTTGTATGGTATTTTTTTTAAATTAAACATTTAATACCATTGCATTGTTACTGCCTGTCATAGTACTTTTTTTTGGAAATAATTTTGGACACGTAATCTAAAAGTAGCCAATTTAACTAAAAAATTTAATAATTTTTAAAAACTTACTCTTGATGTTGAAGTGATACAAGGTTTTCTTGTATCCTCCTCAAGTTTCTTAAAAGAATAAAGCTTAATATTTAAACTAATACAACTAAAAAAACTTACAATTGATGGAATATTTGATGATGATTTTCTTGGTTCCTCTTGACACTGTAACTGTTTGAAATATCATATAATCACCCCACAATTAAAACACAGTTAAACTCTTACATCTCCACATGAAATGTTACCGCACATTCTAAGAACAGTTTTTACTCCCGAAAGAATTGTTTCGTCTGCTGATGGTCCAAGATAGTTGGAAAAAAATGTTGTGCTTTCGTCGTCAGAACCTAAAAATGAGAATTATGGACTATTAAAGGGACCACGTAAATTTTTATTACAGTTTTCATCTATGGTTTTATTATTTCCACAAGCAGAATTTTCAACTATACTATTATCTGTAGCACCACAAACAGAATAAGAAAGCCTTTGGCAACATTCATCGTTATCCATTTTACATCATCCAGTATTTGACACTTCTGTTACTTGTCTATATTAATTACAGGGCGGAACAAAATTCACACTAGGGTTTAAGCTAATAATTTGTCTAGCACAACTTAAACAATTGCTTTATCCTTGGTTAATATTCTATTTCATAGCCATTAGTCTGGAAAACATTATCATTTTTTTTTAACTACGACTTTTCGTAGTAAGCAAGATCTTGAAAACATAGCAGTAGATACCATTTGTATTATTTTCTTTAGCATAGTAAATCATCAAATAAAAATGCTAAGGTGGAAAAACAAAATTGCTGTGGTCACTGGTGCAAATCAAGGAATTGGTTATGGTATAGCAAAGGAATTAGTTAAACACGGCATAAAGGTATGCATAATACAAATATCCAATTGTTATAAAAACTATAAATTTAAATTTATAAATTAACTTTTTTGGAGTTATTAATTAAACAATCGCTCCAGACTAATTTATAAAATTAACAGGTTGCTTATTGTTGACATTATTTAGGTTGTAAGTCTTGATATTGAAACTTCAAACGTGGAAGACTTATCCGATGAACACAAATATAATGGTTTAATAGTCTCAAAAAAAGTTGATGTACGAGAAGAACAAGAAGTGGTGGATGCTTTTCAGTGGATCAAAAAACACATTGGACCTGTATCTATTTTGATTAACAGTGCAGGTGTTTTGGAGACTACCAACCTATCAGACGGTAAGTAACAAAAAAGATAAAATATAGCTCCAAAGAGTATAGACTTTTCTTAAAGGTAATGCTGATATTTGGAAGAACACCCTTCTTACAAATGTTCATGGGTTAAATCTTTGCACCAGAGAAGCGGTTAGATGTCTAAAACAAAATGGCGATGAAGGACACATTATTCACTTGAATAGTATTTGCGGACATTTTGTACCACAAATCGAGAATTTTAATGTCTATCCAGCTTCTAAATACGCTGTTACAGCTTTAACCGAAGGGTTGAGAAGGGAATTAGCCAAGTTGAAGGCAAATATCAAAGTTTCAGTAAGATATACATTGAACCTTAGATTCTGTATTTTGCTTCTCATCATTTAAATTATTTAATTTTGTAGAGCATTAGCCCAGGAATTGTTAAAACAAAAATGTTGGAAGTGAAACTAAAAACCGATCCAATGTACAAAAATATTCCTTTTCTTCCATTACTAGAAGTCGACGATGTTGTTGAGTCAGTAATTTACGTACTGGGAACGCCACCGAATATTCAAGTAAGTTTTTGAATTTTGCAAAAAATAAATTATTGCCGATATTTTTCAGGTTCACGAACTCATAATTAAGCCATTGCACGAATTCGTGTGAAGTTGTCGAAAACTTTTTTAGATCGAGACAGTAATAAAATTATTCAAGTTTTCAGTTCTTTTGACTATAATTTTATTCCTGATATTGCCACCCTCATGGAGACGCAGAAATGATAAACATTGCTTGGTTTCCAAAAGTTTGTCTGCAAACATTTAAATTGTGTTTTTAAAAATTGATGCATACGGCAAATGTAGACAATAAATTGTAAAATACATCAGAATATAGATATTAAGTTAAAAGTTATTGAAGAAAAACAAAACCGTTTCTAAAATAAAAATTATGACCTAGGTAGTTTCAAGACTATAAAGGTTTACGATTGAATGGATGCTCTATAAAATAAAATCATCAAGAACTAAATTTAATAATACGTGAAATACAAATATAAATCTACAGGGTGATCCAAATGATATATGATTTTGATATCATATTGAAATAAAATTGCAATTTCATATATGATGAATATTGAGTTAAAAAATTTAAAAAGTCATTGTCAGCTTTGTAATACTATACTTTATCTATTTTAATATGTAGATAATTAAATGATTTTAAAAAACATCTATATAAAATCTGACATATGTCAAATGATTAACCTAACTTTTTACCAATTTTAAATGTTATTACCAATTTAAAACCCGATTGGTTTAAATCACATAAATATTGAAATCGGCCAATCACTAAAGCCTAACAACGTGAATAAAGAGTTCATTATTCCCGTTGTTAGGCAGGGAATTTATAATGTTTTTAATTATTCAAATAAAAAACCCAATATTATGCAATAGGAGTAGATAAAACTTTTTATTATAAGATTTATTTGGTTAGGGTAAGTTAATCCAAAAGTACGCAAATCTAACTTTGATATTTAGACATAATCTTAGAGTATTATCAAAAATATATTTTAAATTTTTTAATCCTAAAATAGTAGTGCAAAAAAAGTGGCTTTATATTTAAGTTGAATGCATTATTTCCCCTCATGCTATAACGGTTTTATAAATAATTACTAAAAATGCGAAGAAAAAAATTTGACATTTACAATTATTTTATTTTGCATGTCAAAACTTTTTTTAACTTTAATTACGCCCTCAAGGAATAAATAATAAGTAATAATATTAATAACAATATAAATTAAATTAATTGTTATTTTGAAATACAAATTATTTAATTTAGGTAGTATTTGAGAAAGAATGGGGAATTATGAACCCAAATTAGGAAACCCGTTATTAAAAAACCTTTCCAATACTTAAAAATGTACAATCAAGTTGGGTCGTTCACAGAAACGACTCAAAAAAAGAAAAATAAAAAATGGGCTTTAAGAGTAAACTTGTTCAAGAAAACATATGTATGTCAAAAATACAAAATAATAATTAAATCTACACAAGGGTCATTCCACGACAAATTAAACACAATAATGCAAAAGTTTACCACACTTAAATTTTCATCAAATTTTAGTGTAGGATGACAAATTCTAAATTTAGATTTTATTTATTGTAATTTTGAAATTTTCCACAAGAGGCGTTATTTTTGTGCTGTGACATTTTTCTGAAAAAAAAATAAAAAAGTGTTTCCTTCCCATTAATTAGATACATTTTTAAGGAATATAAAAAATATATTTGCGCGCTCTTAGAACCAACTACATTACATATTCTGTAAAATTATTACTCCCTATAACTCGAGTAAACAAATTGTTTAACACGTGAGCTGTTTTTAAGATCAAAAACCTTAAGAAAAATACCATCATCATTCAAAGAAGTAAAATAAATTGCTATGATTTCATTAAATCGTACGCTTAAAAAAGGGAAAAAAATTAACCATAAAAGTAACATAAGTAACATTTGATAGTTGCAGATAGTTTCAAAACTAAAACATTTTCGTTAAAGGTTTCTTTTTAAAGAATATTGATTTGTGATACTGTATTGGGTGCGAAACAACTTCAGTTCGAATTGCACCAAGAGCGAAAAAAAATCCGAAAGGGTCTAAAAAAGATTCCTGTAATTTCAGTGCAAATATTCGCGTTTCCTGCTATGTATTAACTCAATACATTGACCCTAGATGTCGCCTTTCCCCAAAAATCATTTTCAGCAACTTTACTTATTACTTTTATAACTTTTTGAGGTATTCAAAACATTATTAAAAATAATCATTAAATGTTAAAATGTAGGTAATGGCAAATACTTTATTGTTATTTAATGTGAATTAACAAATCTTATAAAATCCTAGTGACTGCGCCATTTACATTATAATAATTATTTATTGCTATTAAATCAATAATTAATCGCAATTTAATTAAAATCCCGATTGAAAGGATAATTTTAATTTATTTTAAGCATGCCTCCACCCTTTTCAGCAAACATTTGGTGGGCGGGTTTCATGAAACCGCCCCCATTTTCTACCTCCCACGTCTGTTAGACTTTACGTGATTTGGGTTTGCTTCAACATTTTGTAAATTATAATAAAACAAAACCATATAGAAATTCGTGCGTGAAGTATTCAAACACATGAGACGTCCATAAAAAATAAACTATAATAATCAACGTTCAAGCTATCAACATGATTTTTAAAATAATCTATAGATATTCCCATATATGAAAAATCAGTGTGAAATAACAAAGTTATTATCCATAGATTCTTTCAAAAGAAATTTAACATTACAGTATTTTTTTTTTGGAAAAATTGTCATTTCAAATTTAAGAAACACAAAAATATGAAAAGGTTTAAACCTTAATTTTGCCATTATAACAAGTTTATAAATTTTAAAACACAAGGTGTTAATATTCTTCATAATTATAAGAATGTTTTTTTTCAAACGTATAACCATTTTCACTCATAAACCTATAATTGAAAGACCTCAGTTTAAAAGTATTATACACCGCCGTACAATAATAAAAATGCATTGAAATAACATAGAAAGAGTGACAGCCTATTGCATTTAGTTCTATATCAGGATAGATCACTAAAAATTACAGGTCACTGTAGAATAAATGTAGCAAACTCGTAAGCAAGTACAGAATTATTAAATGCTTGAAAAAATGTAGTAAATACAACATGGCGGAGAAAGCATATTATCTGCCTCGTACTATTTTCTATTCTTACTAAGTACAAGAACTTTCTATTAGGAACATTTTCTTCGTAATTAAAAAAAAAATTATATTGTTTTTCTTAATCTAAATTTATAAGACAAAAATGGTGAAATGAACCCCTTTCCCTCCCTTGTGACAGAATGTGACGATTTAAAGACTCACCCGAAGGGTCAAGTGACGAATTATTCTTACCCCCTCAAAAATTATTTGTTTCGATGTTTAAATTACGCTACAAAGAGAATTAATCGATTATCAAGGTCATTTTTAAGAAAAAGTTGAAAGAAAAATGGTTTTTATCCAGGCACAAAAAGGCTTGTTCGAATGTATACATTTTATCTTTAAGGCACTATTTTAAGTATAAAGTGAGGTTAGATAGATATGACAGAAGTAGAATATTTTGGTTGGTCTAAAGTAGTAAATAATAAATTTTATCCGAAATCGGCAGTAAAGTAGGTAGTCGACAATCGGCAGTAAAGTAAAAGAAATCGGCAGTAAAGTAGAACTTTACTACCGATTTAATACGAGTATTGTATGCAACCAATTATACATTTTAAAATGTGTCTACTGCTCCTCAGCTGCAACTAAATAAAATTTAAAAAAAAGCACCGTCGCGACGGTTGATTGGAATAATAAGTTAATTTTATCAATTAGATTAAAAAATCGCCGCGGCTGGAAAATATATAATAACCGTCGCAACAAACAGTATACGTAGACACTTTCTACATTCAAATGACATTTGATTTGATCATCAAATGGCATTTGATTTAATCATCAATATTAATTATAGGTATTATTAAATGTGATTTTAGATAAAATTTAATATGCACCTCGGCATTAAAGTCCTATTTTATTACTCACGTGGTTATTTGCCTCGGCTTTCGCCTCGGAAAATAATTTCCACATTCGTGATAAAAAATACGACTTCACTGCCTTGAAACATAAATAACTATTTGAAGATATATATAGAAATATAGTTTATTAATTATTAAAAAAAACAAATACTTTCTCCATCTATTGTTTCTTTTTTATTACCTTACCTTTCCAATAAGGTATGTTCACGGGCCGATAGCTAATTTACTTCCGAACTAGCGAATCGGCGATATTAAATCAGAAACTTAGCAACGAGAAGATGCAGGGGGACGGTGAGACTCTTCAAATTTTCATTTCGAAATCGAGCAAATCGCTATAGACCCATTCAACTGTTTTGCGGAATATTAACGATCTAATAGCCCGGTGTTATTAGATATTTCTACGTAAATACCTGACTACAAAAGGAAGAATTAAATGTTTGTATTTAATTTGCTGAGTTTGAAAGTCAAGGTTTAAGTTGTCTGGAGATTTGTCTAATTAAATATTTACTTTAATTAGGTAACGTTTTTTCTGAAGTAATTTTTTTAACGTTTCTTTAATTTATGAATATTATTTAAAAATAAAAAAAAGGAAGAATTTTTTTAAACAAAACATGTTTTGAATTATTAATAATTTAAACTAAATCTTTTACAAAAATGGCGAATGCGCCGAGATTAATGTGTATGTTATTAAAATATAATATTATAATACATAATATTATTATTGTTACCTCATGTAATAATTATAATAGGTAATAATAAGTAAAGGTGTACATTTCCAATGACGTTTCAAAAATAAAGTTTGTTAAATAACAAAGTTGTGCCGATTTAAAAAGTTCAATGTTAGAGCTTATCTAACACAAAGCGTTGCTGAGGTTTTTTGTACTAATTAAATGAAATTTTTATACACTAGTTCCGTCTTCGGGACAACCTGTTCATAAACCTTATATAATATTTTACCTATTTATAAAAAAAGTCCAAAAACAAATAGAAAACATTAAGAAAATAGTTATTTATGTTATTAGGTCAAGAAGTCAAGAATATTTTTCTGCTGAGTTTAAAATTTAAGGGCTGACAATAATTGTTATTATAATAATAATAATTGTAATTATTGAGCGAATAGTATATTATGTATCAAGTTTGATAAACGCCATTTTATACACGAATTTAATTTAGGCACGAACGAGTTTGCGAGCGAGTGCTTAAATTAATGAGTGTATAGAAACGAAAAATTTGTATAGAGCGCTATCTAT